CATTCACGAATGCAAAGTAATGATATCATTTCCTCGGCCTAATTTTTGCTTCCATTAAGAAATATATAACTTCAAATTGGGGGGTAGAATCTACTTTGTTAGTCAATATGTGCTTGGTTGTTGCCTTACATTATATAAAAAATTGCATAAAAAAGAACTGAAAATTTTCGAAAAATAAAAAAAATGAAAAATGTATGTATTTTTGTGTTACTTTGGATAATTTTGCCGATTAATGATGAGTTTCTATTTGAAATTTGAATTGATTATGACATGTGATCGGATGGTGCCGGTGGTGGATCCATGATTTTGCGTAAGCACGAACGTACCATTACCATCGGCCGCAATAAAATATTAAAAAATAAATATAACAATTATTTTGCTAGAACTTAACATATATAATTATGTTATATATATCAACAATATTCACCAAATGACATAGATGCCAAATTTTGTATAATTCAAAGGAAGAGCACATGTTCAGATCTTTTCAATTGCATTAAAATCGCTAAAACTGAACATATATTATTCTGTTACATTTATCGTCAAAATTTAACAAGTGCCACGATGGTCAAACTTTCAATAATTTAAACGAGGGCTCATAGATTCAAATCCCCTCTCTATTGCATTTGTTTTGGTATAAAAATTGTAGAACTAGGAAAATTGCACAATAAATTAGTTTGGAAGATACTCAATCTCAAGGCTTTGAATTTGGATGTGAAAACTCTAACCTAGCCACAAGAGATGTTTGAAAATAAAATAAATGACCAGATATATAACCTAAATTTTTTATCTATTATCCAAAAAAAAAAAAAAATTGTTCCGATAGATCCAGCATGCAAGGCCACCGGTGCTCACCGAGTGTTGGATCGATCCACCACTGGATGGTGTTACTTTTGCTTGTTTGTGTAAGACTCTATTATTGAGCACATACTCACTTCTATTATTATTTAGATTTGGAAATTGTTGTGTAATAGGATGGGTTCTTAAGTGGGTAGAACTAGATTATAATTTGAGTTACAATCACCTAAACAAATCAATCACTAAACCAATATGCCAGACTAGTTTGTGGATGGTTAGATTGATAGAGGTTATTATTTAGATATGTGTTGCTTTCCTGCGTGAATTATTTGTGTATTTTTAACTAACAAGTATAAGCTACGTATTGACCACATGTTAGAGATTTAATTACAACTACTCGTCACAATAAAAATGTACTGCACTAGCCATGGCAAAAAGGGAAAGAAGCTACCACGTTGTGGAAGCCATCCTCTAAAAGATCCCAATACAGACACTAGATAAATATCTCAAAAAATAAAAATCAAAGAATGCATGTTCAAACTAGGGATAAATCATGTTCATGAAACAAAAAACGTAGATCAAACCTAACTAAGCCTAGAACACTAAATTCGGGGATCTAGATAGCAGGTGGGTTTAACTTGGTGGAAACTTGAAGGTTAGGACATTGATTGATCAAGTGGAGGAGAGTGTCACACATACCACAATATAGTATGATGCTAATGTTCGTTACGACCATTGAGGATGAGGAGACATCTTGGCTTGACATGAGTTCAATAGTTTGCCGTAAAGATGAAGTTCATATGTTGAGCAGACGACCTTAACAGTTGGGTTTTGGAAAGCCACTTTATGGAAAGCTTGCCTAAAGATTTATTCTTCGAGGCTATGTTAAGGATATGGTAACATAACCGAATGAGTTATCACAGAAAGCAATCTAAAGGCTTCGTATGCTAATTCATGTGTATTGGTTATGGGTTTTAGCCTTGTCGCGAGTCCAGTGACTAGAAATACATTCATGGGAAGACGATGCATAGTATAGGCAAATATGATAAGATATCTATATTGTAGAAAAGAGTATACTATGAAAGCACTTTAATTAGCCATAAATGAATAGATGGCCCTACTTGGGCTAGGCACTAACGAAGGACATGGAAGAAAGCATTAAGCTAAAATGACCGTAGAAAGTGACGAGTACAAGGATTGTGTTTTAGGAGAATGAGAATAACTATAAATGCTTTGAATGGAGCTATGAGAGCTCATTTGCAGCGAGTATGCTTTGAGAGGATTGTATCATGTGCATGAGCATGTAGGCAAGCTAAAAGATGTTCATTGCAAACAGGTTGGTACCAAATGCATCACAGGAATGCGTTTGGGTGTTTACATGCTAGTAAACTTTATGTGTGAAATATACAATTGAGTCATGTTTAGACTTGTGATGGAAATGGTTAAAGGTACTCGATCATAGTGAGATTACTGTCACACGGGTGCAAAAATAGTCCCGCTACGAGACTCAGGGAGTTGGCCCATGTCACGTCGCTCCATCGGGGACAGGAAACACAGGCCTCAGGTTTTTCAAACCAAATTGTCATCCCTAACATCATTGCTATTTTATAGACTTCGTCTCCATTCTTTGTTTCTTATTATTTGCAAACATTATCTTCTTGTTGCATTAACTACCTTTGTGATCATCGGACTAATTACTAATAAATGTACGGAATTTTTTGATGACAAACCAAATTTTAATGAGTCACTATAGATTTCTTCTTGTTTTGCAAAAAAAATAATTTTCGCATGTCAATACTTCAACCATCTTCGAACGGGAATATATACTCACGAATAACTACTATATTTGAACTGCTACTCTTCTTTGACAATTTGTGAGATAATCTCATATTTATTTTAACTGTAGTAAGGTTGAGTGCCCATATGTAAAAACCTCAAAACATTCATGCCCATATTTAGATTAATATTTAATAATTTATTACTCTATTTGGAAGGTTAACCTTGTAATTTCGAATTGCGATCCAAGTCCCATTCATCGTATATAAAGTATAATATTTATTTATTACACCACATTTCAATTGCATTACCTTTAACTCAGTTTCACAATTATGTTCCCAACTTTTTTCATTGCGTTATACTCAATATTTCATTAATTAAGATGTTTTGTTCCTAATAACAATTTTGTTCAAAAATTTCATTAGGAAGACAAAAATGACTTATTTATCTCTCATATTTTAAAATAATAAATAAATAAATACCAAATTTTTAGAAAATATATGTTTCTCGTCTCAAAGCAAACTAACATAACATTTGGACGCACCATTGATGAAATATTGTTTTAAATTGTGATTTTTTAGATAATGTATGATTAAAATGAGGCAAATGTTTTGAATTTATGCTTTGTTTGATTCTCATTATTTTCAAAATACATTTTTTTGTCTCTTCTTTTCAACCACACATTCTTACATGAAATAATATTACTCGCAGATCTAAAATTTTTCCTTATTTTTTAACTACACTTTCTCCATCAATCTACTATTTAAAAATGTATTCTTTGCCAAATAATGGGACTCAAATAAGGGCTATGTGTATAATATTTTATTATGTAAATTTATGATTTAAAATGAGTATATAGAAATTAAGAAATGGAAGACAGTTAAATACGAGGACTGAATTTAAAATCCATTTATTGGTTGCAAGTTGTATGTCTATTTCATTTGACATAAATATAATGCACGTAAACTTACCAAGAAATTTCATTTGCTGTCATGAATTTTGAAACACACCTTCAATTCAAACTAGGTTTGCTTTTAAATAACATTTCTAGACTTTTCTGTTGTCACCTTATTTGAAAACAATGAACTCAACGATAATTAATTTCTGGGTTTGTTCATAATTTGTCTGTTGTGATGTGATGATAGCAGGCAGCAAAAAAATAGTTTTTCACCCTTTCATTATCAACCCCATCCAATTTCTTGTTTTAACAGTAAATTGAAAGTTTCTTTACCTATTAGTTTGATGATTCTTTCGTTTTTCTTTTTGTTTTTGCCTCCATGGAAGGCGAATAGTGCAGTGTCAAAAGACAAATATTTAAATGAATACGGAGCTAATCTCTTGTACCTTAAACTTTTAGATGAGATGATCGACATACTAAGGATGCTGAATCAAAATTGCGCAAATTATTGCACACAGTAACAAGTTTATCTTCGAAACAATACTTGATTTTGGATGAACATCAGGCGTTTGAATATTGTTTCCATTGATTGTAGGCCAATATGAAGATACTATCAATCTATTATTGTATGACCATTGTTGGGTTTTGATACCCAATAAATTCGGGTTATGATGTTAAATCGATATTTTAGTTGGATAATATTTCATATAGGCCTCGGCCGATGATTGAAATGATATGATGACACCACAATCGGACCAATCGAATCACGTAACCCACTTGGACCATTCGAAGTAGCCTAATTGTATTAGTGTTGCTCATGGCCCGACCCGAACGTTTTGGATGGCTTTCAGGGTTGTAACCCACTTGGACCATTTGAAGTAGCATAATTGTATTAGTGTTGCTCATGGCCCAACCTGAATTAGGACGGTTTAACATCATAGCCCGAATTTATTGAGTATCAAAACCCAACAACCATCGATCTTGTTTGTGGGTTTGCTCAAATTTTCTATTTTGTATTAGAAACTTCTACACCTTTATCGTTTACGTTTTGTTTTGACTTGAATAATATTTGATAGACTTGACGAACCAATATATTCCTGTAATTTTTTGACGTAGTAGGGTCCAGCTAAATCAAATGAAGCCAAATATGGCCTGCAAAATGGATAATTTCTAATCCAATATGTCGTCGAGTCAATCTATTTTTTAATATTATGCCCTAAAGATTCGGACATATACCAATTTACATGTTCGATTCCTTGGTCAATTACGCGTATTCTAACATGGGAATGTAGAGAACCCTCACTGTTTCGTGGAGTTTGAATCGTACCTTCTAAAACCTGATATAAATGACCTCCCAAACTTCTTTCAAAAGCAAGTAGTACTAGGAATCTGTTTCCGAAATTCATGAGCTTTAAGCATTGCATCGGCTATCTTGGTTCATCTCTGATAATGAATAAGTTCTATTAGATTCCTTTTAACCTCGTATATATGGTAGTTTTCAAGTAGTGTACGTCAAGTGCTGTAGAGAATGGACTTCTTGCTACTTCAGTTGTTGATTTCCCTTCTCCTGCTTCCTAGTTTGGGTACTGAACAAAATTCCACTGACGGCATAATTAATTTTCAAGTTGGTGTAGTTCTTGATTTGGATTCACCGGTAGGGCGTACAGGACAGGACTGCCTTTCCTGGGCTCTTTCTGATTTTTATTCATTTCATAGGAACTATACAACTAAGCTGGTTCTCCATCTGTGGGATTCAAAGGAAACAGTTATTGATGCTGCTGCTGCTAGTATGTTTCTACTTTTCCTTAACCCACAAATCATGTCTGACCCATCCATATCGCCAGTGATTGTCTCTAAAATCCAAAGCATTGAATCCCGAACAAAAATAATTAGAGAGCAGATGTTTTTGTCAATATAAGGAAAAACGTCAATAACTCCCCAGTAGTGTATTTCAAAGTCTAGCCAAGAAAAAATTTCCATTTAAATTGACACTTAGAAGACACCAGGTCTTACAAGCATCAGCATGTGGAGAAGATTGTTAAAGATATTTAGAATTATATAACTAACTTATTCCTACTTTTACATGATCAATGCAGCTCTTGATTTGCTGCAAAATGTTAAAGTGGATGCTATCATTGGTCCTCAAAAATCTACACAGGCCAACTTTGTGATGGATCTCGGAGATAGAGCTCGTGTACCTATCCTTTCTTTCTCTGCCACAAGTCCTTCTCTTATCCCTCGAACTCATTATTTTGTTCAAACAGCTCAAAGTGATGCTGATCAGGTTGAGGCCATTGCTTCCATAGTTGAGGCCTTCAGCTGGAACCAGGTCGTCATAATTTACGAAGACACGGAATATGGTAATGGAATTATCCCTCATCTGTCTAATGCATTACAAGAAGTCAATGCTCGAGTTTCACATAGAAGTGCATTTCCAAAATCTGCCACCGATGATTATATATGCAAAGAACTAGAAAAGATGATGACCATGCAGACAAGAGTTTTTGTGGTGCACATGTCACAACGTGTTGGTGCCAGGCTCTTTCTAAAATCAAAAGAGTTGGGAATGATGAATAATGGTTATGCTTGGATTGTTACCACTGGCCTGACAGATCTATTCAGTTTGATGGATTCTGATGTTGCTGAAGCCATGCAAGGTGTTTTGGGTGTAAAGCCTCTAATCCCAAAACGTAAAGCACGTGACGGTTTTACTCATAGATGGAATGCGAAGTCTCTTCAGGCTGATGGCAATATCAAACCAACAGAAGTAAGTATTTTTGGCCTTTGGGCATATGATACCCTGTGGGCACTTGCTATGGCAGCAGAAAGAGTGGGAAATAAGCATCTGATTGCAATAAAGAATGGTGTTGATTCCAATTCCGAATTCCCATTTTCTTTAGGAGTTTCTGAAACTGGTCCTAAACTTCTCAAAGAAATATTACGAACAAGGTTCGAAGGACTAGCTGGGGTTTTCCATCTTGCTGATGGACAACTAGTGCAGACACCTTATCAAATAGTAAATGTTGTTGGAAAAAGCGAGAGACAGGTAGGAATTTGGTCACCCTCCCACGGAATTTCCAAGGAAGTGATTCTGAATGTCTCCACTTCTTACTCAACCTCAAAGGAAAATTTTAGGAGGATTGTTTGGCCAGGGAACTCTGAAATAGCACCAAAGGGGTGGGAATTTCCAGTTAGTGGTAAAAAGCTAAGAATCGGAGTGTCAGAAAAATCTGGTTTTAACGAATTCCTGAAAGTGGCGAGGGATCCTCAAAGTAATGCTATCGAAGTTAGTGGATACTTTAAAGAGGTGTTTGATTCTGTCATGGCAGCATTACCATATTCTGTGCCATATGAGTACGCTCTTTATCACTTCGAAAATTCTGACGGTTCAAATGCTGGGAGTTACAATGATCTTGTATATCAAGTTTCTTTGCAGGTTAATCATAAATTTATATTTTGTTCTTATTAATACATAGTTCACCTTTTCTATCAAAAACTATAATGTTTTTGTAAGGTAATTGATTTCTTTCTAATTCTTTTTTCTTTCTTGGTGACAATAGAAGAAATATGATGCTGCTCTGGGAGATATAACAATTACTTCTAACCGATCAATCTATGTCGATTTCACTTTTCCATATGCAGCAGGAGGAGTTGCTAGTGTTGTGCCAATTAAATATGATGATGGAAATGATAAATGGACGATTTTGCAGCCCTTAACCAAAGAACTTTGGCTAATGTCTGCTACATTTTACATTTTTACTGGTCTGTCAATATGGATCCTTGGAAAAAGGATTGACGCCAATTGTCGTGATTCTGCGGGTCAACAATGCGGCATGATTTGTTGTTTTCCATTCTTTCCTGGTGATCTATTTTCTCTTCTTGACATTTGTATCTACACAGTGAAATGTAGCTATAGAGTCTTTCAATTCTTTGAACAGATTAATCATTTAAAATTGCTGGTGAACCTTGCATTGATTTGTAGGACAAGGAATTGAAGGAAATTTAATTTGTCTGGTTTTGGTCACATGGGCATTTGTTGCAAATTTGTTAATCTCAACTTACACTGCTAGCTTGTCATCAAGATTAACAGTACAGAGGCTTCAACCAGCTGCCACCGATGTGATGGAACTTATTAGGAGTAGAAACTACATTGGTTGTCAAGAAGGATCCTTTCTTGTTGATTTCTTAAAAGGCTTAGGATTTGAAGAATCAAAAATTAGGACATATAAATCTACTCGTGATTGTGATGAAGCTTTGACAAAGGGAAGTAGTAATGGAGGTATATCAGCATATTTTGATGTTTTGCCTCACATAATGCTCTTCTTATCTGAATTCTGTGGCAAGTACATGATAGTTGGTCCTACCTATCGTACGGGTGGATTTGCTTTTGTAAGTATTTTTCTTTCATTATACTATACAAATTACCGGTCAATTCGTTAGTTTATTGCTACTGAGATCTAAAGCACTTCATAAGCCTATATCAGGGGAAAAGGTTACATTTTGTCTTAACACAATATCGTGCCCTTCTACTTTTGTAAGCAGTTTCTTCTCCAAGATATATACTAAATGAGATTGAGGCTTGAATGGATTAGATCTAATTAGTCCAATCAATGAACTCTTTAACATTTAAAATTCTGAATCGAAAGCAAGCCGTACACCATATTACAGTGTCTATTCATGATTTGAGTTGTTCATGCTACTGATAGTCTCATATTTGTTTATAATTGACAGGCTTTTCCTAAAGGCTTGCCTTTAGTTGCTGATGTCTCTCGTGCCATAATTCAATTGACAGAAAATGGTACGATTGTAGAGATTGGTCAAATGAATTCTAGTAATCCAGCATGTGCAGGACCAGAAAGTGCTATCACCCCAAGCAGCATGACATTGCAAAGCTTTCAGGTGCTTTTTGCCATCACAGGATGTGTCACAATAGTTTGCCTACTTGTTTCATTAATCATGTATCTTTATAAGAACAGAGGTTTTCTTCAAGGAGTCTCATATTTTAATGTCAATAGCTGGTCAAGAATTCATGCATTATGTAGATACATCATGAAAATCGACCTCTCATCTCATTCCAAGGCTGGACATACAAAAAATCAGATTCTGAGAACTTGAGGAAGTTGATTGAAAGCAGCTATAGGCTTCATCAATTTTGTGCAACAAGATGCAACGTATAGTGTGAATATCAAATGTTAAGTTTCTCTTGATATGTAAAGAACAATCCGGTTAATGTACTTGAGATATGTTAATTCTTTTAGCACACATTTGAAAATACATGCCATTTAAGTGATTAGTCTTCCATTTTTGTACAGATTTGTACTACAAAGCCTTCACCCACCTTCACCCCATGTTTTCCTTTGTTTTATGATTATTAGTATGGTATCAAAGCCAATAAGGTCTCTATTGGGAGATTCCAAATTGGGTTCTAACTATTATTTGCAATGTTAGATTCGAGGCATGAACATTATTTCTCATCGTCTTAATTTCTTTAGCACATTAGTTGGTTTGGTTGAGCAACGAATTAAATTTATTCAATCGGACATTGTGCACTGGTCTTTCTTTCGTTGTCTCTGAGTTGCTTGTTCAAGAAACTCGATTAAAAGCATTAGTAGGAGCCTATACTTCTAATTATATGAAGTGTTTATTGTAAGTATTAGCACGGGACAATATTGATTTGCTTGATTAAATTCTAATTCTGAGAAGTCGAAATTGAAAAGACCTCTGGATGAGTTCTCTTCTTGTTCAAACATAAACAACCTTTATTGTTACATCCGCTCCACATATCATAAGTGAACTAAATAATATTGGTAAAATTTCAAGTTTTATATGTTCTTTCATCTGATGAAATAATTATAAGCAGGGAGCACGAAGCGTATTTCTAGAACTAGGTATTAGAGCCAGCTAGATGTGTATCTAGATTTTCGTTTACATTCTGTTTCTGTTAGATGGTTAGGAAGTTAGTTAGGTTGTTTTTAGTTAGTTAGTTAGTTTTGTTAGTTGATCTCTAGTTGGCATGCCCGTTATGTGTATTATTTATACAGCAATTGTACTCTCTTTTTTGGCAAGTAATGAATGATAATACTCATCCTCCATTTTCCTTGTTCTGGAGCTAACATGGTATCAGAGCAGGCATCTTCTGCTACTGCTGCTTCTTACTCTTCTTCTTTTTCTTCTACAATTCGTTCTAGTTTTCTCTGATTTCATTCTCTGATGGAATCAATACAGTCTGAAGATCGAATTGATCAAATGTCATCATTAAATAAATCGGCCACTGATGAACCTTCAAGCCCCTATTTTCGGCACCATTAGGATAGTCCGGGACTGATACTAGTATCTCAACAGCTCACAGGAGATAACTACACCTCTCGAAGTCGTGCGATGATAATTGCATTGTCGGTGAAAATAAGCTTGGATTCATTGATGGTACTGTATCCAAGCTGGAAGACAACAATTCCGATTTGATGCACTGTTGGATTCAGAATAATAATATAGTGATTTCCTGGATTTTGAATTCCATTTCAAAAGAATTTTCTGCCAATGTTATATATATGCTACATCCGCTGATGAAATGTGGAATGATCATAAAGATAGATTTCAGCAGAGTAATGGACCTCGAATCTTTCAATTGAGAAGAGAGATGAATAATCATCATTAAATGTAGAGGCGTGAAAGAGATGAATAATTATAGAACTAGTTGCAGTTGTGGAGCTTGCACATGTAGAGGCGTGAAAGAGATGAATAATCATCACTAAATGAAGTACATAATATCTTTTCTTATGGATTTAAATAACTCATTTTCTCAAGTCAGAAGACAAATTCTGCTTATGGATACACTACCTCAAATCAACAAGGTGTTTTCCTTGATATCTCAAGAATAAAATCAGAGGAAGATAAGTGCTCAAACTATTGTTTGAAATGATCAAAATGAAGCATTGAAGCTGTTGTGTTTGATCTTAAACCTAATAACAAGACAGCAAGTAATTATGGATCATATAACTCCAACTCAAGAGCTGGAAATATTGGTGTTCGTGTGAAACTCGCAAGCGTACGGGGTCGTTGTACAAGTAATAATATTTTTGAGTTAAGAGTATCGTTCCCACAAGAAATAAGGTCTAATTTGTAGTTCAATAGCTACTATTAAATTCGAAGTGTGGTAATATCAAAAAAGATTTATTTCAATGCTTAATTCGTAATCCAGTAAATTCATGCATTCAAGACAATCGATAATCCACTTTTATTCAATATTCTTTTCCAAGATATATTAAACATATGTTTAACACGACCCGATCCTATTCCTATTCCGAATTCATATGAAAAATATGTATTGAATCACATGATTTATTACACATGATTGCACATAACATAGATATTATTCCTAATACCTATTGTCCATGTGTTGATTTTGCCGCGTTCTAGACTTATTGTGAGTATTCCTACACTACAACAAGCAACTTACTATCTAATTGGTGATCAAG